ATGTGTTATAAGTATATATACCCGTCGTGAGGGAAAATGATATACATTCACATATACACATACGTTTAAACATATATTCATCCATCCAATCGTGGTTAGCAACTAGTATACATYGTGTATATATGTGTATATATAAATGACCGATGGGTATATATACATATAACACATACAACGTCGTGTGAACATATATGTATATAACACGGGCTAACGGATATATATACTTATATATGACACATGCATATATATATATATATATATACACGATACCTAAATATAAAATATAACACATAAAATTCAAGAAAATAAGTATGTATGTATGTATATGTGTTGTTTGTATATATGTCGATGTCGTATGTATGTATGTATGTATATGTGTTATATGTACATATTTTTATATGTCGATGTCGTATGTATATATGTATGTATATGTGTATATATGTGCACTACTAGAAAACCACGTGTATATATAATTGACCGACGGGTATATAAATACATATAACACATACAACATCGTGTCAACATATATGTATATAACACCGGCTAACAGATATATATACTTATAACACATGCATATATATATATATATGTGTATATATATATATATATATATATATACACGATACCTAAATATAAAAATATAACACATAAAATTCAAGAAAATAGGAAAATTCTCTCGCTGATCCCTCGCATAAAAATATAACACATAAATTTATTTTATCAACTCCTTGCAAAGGACCGGCCGTAACCGGTTATGGGACCGGAACCGGGACTGGACGGCTTAACCGGTAATGGGCAAGCTTGACCGGTTATGGAGTTTTCATCGGGACCGGTTATAGATGGTTTTTGTCGCGATTAGAACCGCCCGTTAAATGGGTTAAGCCCCGAAAAAAAAAATTAAGAAAATAGGACAATTCCCTCGCTGATCCCTCGCTGATCTGTGAGGGATATGTTATTTGCCAATTCCCTCGCTGATCCCTCACAGATCAGCGAGGGATCAGCGAGGGAATTTGCAAAAATCAACTTCCCTCGCTGATCACTCGCTGATCTGTGAGGGATCAGCGAGGGAATTGGCAAATAACATATCCCTCACAGATCAGCGAGGGATCAGCGAGGGAATTTGCAAAAATCATTTTTTTTATCGGGGCTTAACCGATTTAACTGGGAATTGTTCGGTTTTATTGGACCTTAATCTATTTAGCGGGATATATTGAGTTTATCCGAATATATAATATATATATATATATATAAATAATATATAATAATATATATATATATATTATTATATATTATTTATATATATATATATATATTTCATATAGAGAAAAAGTTGGTCAGAATTTGCGAGGGATTGTGTCCGTCGCTGATTTATATATATATATATACATATATATATATATATATATATATTTCATAGAGAAGAAAAGTTGGTCAGCATTTGCGACGGAAATGTCCGTCGCTGATTTAGGCTCAACATTTGCGAGGGATTGTGTCCGTCGCTGACTTATATATTTTTTCATTGAGAAGAAAAGTTGGTCAGCATTTGCGACGGAAATTTCCGTCGCTGATTTAGGCTCAACATTTGCGAGGGATTGTGTCCGTCGCTAATTATTATATATATATATATTTCATAAAGAAGAAAAGTTGGTCAGCATTTGCGACGGAAATGTCCGTCGCTGATTTAGGCTAAACATTTGCGAGAGATTGTATCCGTCGCTGATTTATATATATATATATTATATATATATATATATATATATATTTCATAAAGAGGGTTTGCGACGGAATTTTCCGTCGCTGATTAGATTTTTTCCGTCGCTGATATGTTTTACAGAACCTAGGTTACGCTTTTTTAACTTTACAGTTTTGATGGTCAGCACACTTTTGGACAGATCGAGATCGAGAGAGAGAGAGCGATATCGAGATCGAGCGAGAGAGAGCGATATCGAGATCGAGAAGGAGAGCGACAGGTCTCTTTTCCGTCTAAAGCATCGCCGACGGCCGCCGTCCTCGCCGTGGCCGACCACCGCCGTCTTCCCCTTTGCGACCACCACAGCTGCGCCGCGCTGACCGTCGTCCTCGCCGGCCTCACCGTCGTCGCCCACCGTCAACCTCACTGTCCTCGCCGTCGTCTTCACCGTTGTATTTGTAAGTTTAGAAACAATTCATGTCTAGTTTTTTATTTGAATGGTTTATTTCATGTCAATTAACCAGACAGGCCTAAATCGTTTATTTTAATA